TTTGTCTTTTCTACACTTTTCTACCACCACTCATTACCAACGATTCTTGTCACTAATCACAGTAAGCTGAATGCTGAATGCTGAAGAACAAAATTAAAACGAGACACAAATGCTAAAAAAAACATCAACAAATGTAACTGGGTCAAGTTGTTGTTGCCTGTGCCGCTGCCGTCGAAAAAATACAAAGTAATTGTGGAAAATCTCAAGATCTTTTTATCTGCGGTTTTATTTTTTTTTTTTTTTTGTATCTCGGTTTTTGTTTGTTTTCATACGTCTAATGCGCTGGCGGTTGGCCGGATCGACGAACTGGGGAACTGGGCCGAGTTTCAATTAAGTTTTCAGCCCGGAGCCGAGCTCACGCCCCCAGCAATGGGTCTTGGGTCCATGTTTTCCTACCCATTATACACCTTACGCACTCGAGAAGTGCGGAGAAAGGCTTGAGAACTCTGAGAGTGCCCAATTAGGGTGTATTAGGCAATTAGAGGTAATCAGCGTGTCTGGTAATTACCTTTTCAAAATTATTCTAATGAATTCGGGGAGATGTTTCCGCTTTCAGCTGTGATGATTGATAAGTCCTGATGGTTGCCAAATCTGTAACTTAACTATTTAGAATTTTGTAGAAAAGTAAAGATATAAAGATATAAACTAAAATAACAGCCTTAAGCTTTTGGTTTTCAATTCAGAGATGCAAACCTTTTTTCTATAAACATTCAAAAGATAATCCCCACTCCCTCCCCATCTTCTTTTAAATAAAAACCCGCCAAAATAATCAAGGAAAATGGGGAAAGGTGACTTCGTGCGATTTTCGCGGCTGACATCCCAAGCGATCCATTGTCCAACTGGACGGGAGTCAATAAAAATTATTTCGCGAAAGTTGTCGCACAATATGGCCGTGCAGAGTGTTTACTTCATTTTCATTAAGTTGTATTTTTAAGTTTTATTTTCTCCGACTTTTTATTAGATTGTAATGTTTAATGCTGCTGTGCTGTTGCTGTTGCCGCTGCAAGTTGCCAGTCGCCACATTTCGCGGCCATAATTCAACTAATTAAATGCACATGAAAAATTCAGCACTCGAAAAGGCAAACTTGACAAATGGTACCAAGTTTTTAGCCGCGGCGAGGGGCTATGAAATGCCAATGCCAAAAACTTGGGATGAAACGCACTGAGAAATGTTTCAATCTGGAATGCACAATGAATTACTGAATTTGTTAGCTGGTGAAAGAGTTTGGGAGATTGGAAATAGTTTGAATTAGTCATGGGAAAAAACAGCAGCAGATTGTTGGGATTTGAGGTAGGTCGTTGTATAATTAATTATTTAATCCGAGTTGAAATTCTGTATTTATCCATAGCTAATTGTAAAACAAAACCGCCCTTAGTGTTGCTTTTATGTTCACAGGCGAACACTTCATTAATTAGGAATTACTCTTCTTTAACTGCTTCAAGCTTTAAACAAATGGAAAACTTCAATTTCTCCTACGATTTCCCATAATATTTATAGTCTTACTTAATACCCAACCAATTACCCGATTATTGTTAAATCTCTGGATCTTCAGCGGGCCACTTAATGGAATTAACCAGATTGGCCATGGCTTGGATCATATGTTTTCGATGCTTGTTAATGGCGGCCAATGCAGCCGGATCGAGAAATGGTTTTCCCAATCAATTAGCTTTGACCTCCAGGTGCCCTTCGGACCTGCACTCGCCGCGGGAGGTTTTCCCATTTCCCTTTTCCTTTTCTTCTCCCCCGAAATCATTGATCATTGATCATTGGCCATCGATTGGCCGCGATCGCCGACACGATATTGCCCTAGGTTTTTGGCTACCGTTCCGAGTGGCCAATACCAAAGGCCCAAAATCAAAAACAGAAAAAAAAGAAAAAAAAACCCAAGCAAACCCAGCCAACACCAAGCCACTTACAACTTGGGCGCAACTTTCACTAATTTTCAATGCGAGCAAACTTGATTGGTAAATTGCGGCGGCAGGACGCACTTCGTTTAATATTTCTCACCCATTCTCGGTCCCACCTGAGTTTGATTTCCACCTCGCCCAGTGCCCAATCAATTGGACACTTTTCCACTATATTTTCCACGCTAATTGGAATGGACACCAGGGAATTCAGCATTCTTCCCGCTTCGTGCGCACAATTTTCTTACTCTCCATGGGGCTTTAATGAAAACTATTCAAATAAAAAGTTAATAACTAGGTTTCGCAACAAATTAATTGCGTTTCTTTAAAGTGTGCATTAAAATGTGTGTTTAAATAATTAAATTAAATTGGCGAGTTACGGTTCATTAAACATTTATTAAGACATTGTTTAAGACTACATTACCTGATATTACCAATCAAAAAATTATCAATATTTGGTTAAAAGATTTACTTTATTCCAAAAAAAAGGAAGTAACTTGAAACATCTTTATTTCAAGTGTTATCAATTTATTTTTAAGAGCAACGAACACTTCCCAAAATTTAAAACCCACTTGATTGCCCCAGAAAATGGAGGCTTTGTGTGTTTGGGTAATTAAATTTTCCATCCATTGAGATCTCGGACTTGCAACTTCCTTTCCGGCCTTCCGCTAGTTTTATCGCTCTATTATGACACGCAAATGGCAAAATTAGTAAAAATATTTGAAAAGCGGGTAGCTGGGAATTGTCGGCTGCTGTTATAATTATAATATAAAATGATCCCATAATAGACTTGTTTTTCGCCCCTGGCCAATTTGCAATGTTGGCCAAATCTTTTGGCGTTTTATTTTCATTTAATTACTGCTGGTGCCTCCGACTTTGTAGCCGCTGTTGCATTAATTGGCTTGTTTTGCTTAATAATGATTATTGGTTTTTATGACTCTTTGATTATGCGATGATGCATCGAAAAAAGCATGTCGGTGGGGTCCGCTCAAAACTCCAAGCGGGAAAGTCTCGCCAGCGGCTCTGTTTTTATCAGTTTTTTCTGTTTTTATTTAGTTTTTTTTTTTCCACCGGCTCTTCGGCGAGGTGTTGAGCATTTTGTTGGAGTTGATGGCCTGTCCGTCAGTCAGGCAACTCAACTGCCGGACAGACATTGTCGGTCTGTTTTAAAACGCCGGACTGTTTCTATATCTGCTTATGCTGGTAGTGCTGCTGCTGTCTTAATTATGTAATGTGCGCTTTTGAAGACAATTTAAATGGACGCCAGTTGTGGAAAACAAACACGAACGAACCTCGGTGGCCCAGAAACACCAGGAAAGCGAGAAAGAACCAAGTAAAGACTCGACATAAAGATGCTCTAGATTTACAATCAGAAATATCAGATATCAATCAGAATTATTATTAAGAATTTATTAGATTTTTTAAGGGATAAAAGCTAAAGGATTTATTCATGAAGTTGTTAATTTTATTAAAATCACAAATACATTGCTTTTCTTATGAGAAATATCGTATCAAAGATCGTTGTAACTACTTCCCCCAAATTCTTTACATATGTCTTGTTTGGATTATGATTATTTAAAAATCAGATAGATTATTATGCCTTATAGCAACCAATATACTCTCCATACCTTGCCCTACTCTATAGGCTATTCCGCATAATTATATGCACTTGATCGGCGGAGAGCGTGTGAGCGAGATGGAGCGGACAAATGTGCAACTCAAGTGGATAGCCAAGTGGACAGCGAATTGTGAAGGATGACGCAATGCAGACTCATCGATGGAGCTGGAAAAACCGTTGCAGCAGACCCAACCTGCCAGTTGCTCCTGGTTGGGTTGAAGCTCTTGACCTCGTTTTGCCCGGCAATGCCGCAAATGAAAAGCCAAAAGCCGAAAAATCCAAGATCTTGAAACGCTTCACAAACTTTAAACGCCCCCGAAACTGGCGTTGCATTTTAATTGCTCTGTGATTAAGCGGCAATTACATAAAATTAAAAACAAAAGTTGATTTCAAACTAAATGATTACGGCAGACAGGCAGTTGAGAAAAAAAAATAGAAAAAGAAGAGCAGCACGAACGAAGAAAGTAAGAAGAGCGAAGAAAGCTGGGGAAGAAAGGCGAAAATAAAACGATTAGTTACATTCGCTTAACAAAATGTTGTATAATTGCTTATAATTATGATAATTCAACTAAATACCAGCGCGGGCGGTTGCATCAGCCCAATTTGCACCACTAACCCACCGAGCAGCCACACATCGCACCACTTTAGCACGCAACTCGCTCCACACTCGGTTGGCTAATTTATGTCATGATTCCGCACATAAATTCCAAAGGAATTTTCCTATAAATTACAGGGGCTTTTCCCTGTCGCCCTGTGTTTTTAGTTAGCCGAGATGTCAGCGAATTCGTTTTTCGTTTTTGTTTTTATTTCAGCTTCTTTGGTCAGGTTTTCCTCCCTCTTTTTTTTCCTAATTTTCCTGGCAACATCATTACGAAATGAGTCGCGTCTTCGGTCTTGTTTTTCTTTCTCTCCGTTGCACATGGGGACTTTTCCCGACTCCCTCCGTGGAAAATCCGGGGGCCAAAGATCCCAGTGACATTTCCCCGTGCAGGGAGGCCTCTTGAAAAAAAATTCTTTTTGGCATGCGCTGACACGAAGAAAACATTAAACATTCTTTCTGGCTAAAAAGACATTACGAGGGAGCCGAGGGGCACGTGGTGGGGCACCGGCGGGCTGCATCAATAAATTTAGCTCATAACGCTGAGTGACAGTAATGTGTCATCAGCGGGTGGAAATAGTTTCTAACGAAGTGGGAGTTGCTTTGTGGGCGTGTATTTCCATCCAATGAAAAATGAGTTTGTCTTGCCGCAAAGGTGGCGCATCCATTTGATCTGATTTACACGGTCTTTACGATGGATATATAGCGGCTAACCGCGCTGATTCATTCGGCTAAATATTTATGTAGAGGGAAAATGACAATCAATTGTTGAGGAATTTTATTTCAACGTGGAATTGTTTTTGAATGCCTACGATGAAGAACTGCATCTTTAATAAATTTATTTGTGAGTTAAAATATTATTTTAATTTTATATTTCAGATTGCTAAACTCAAATGCTGAAGAGGCGTCACAAAATTGTTCTTTGTTAAAAAAGTTGCCGCTGTAAGTATTTCTTTGAAAACCACTTACATTGTACATATATCATTTAAAAAATGTTTGTTTTTGTAAGTTTTTACCGCCATATACAAAACTTATAACCTTGTTATATATAACTCAATCTATTTACGAGTTTATCTTACGAAACTCTGAAAACCCACACCCGTTGCCAATTTCGAATGTATCCCTCAGATACTTTTGAAAATGAATTTTAATTTCGCCTCGTTATAGCTGTAACTCAAGACCGATCCAGGTTCACCTGCGCGGCCTGTCGGCCGACTAATGAAATCATCAACCTGTGGCCACACAATCCATCAAATTTAAGTCCAGAAAGAGACAGGGGCAAAAGTGTTAAACAATTTTCCGCACACACACAGAAATCACAGTCGCCGGTCGAGATGCAAATGAAGTTTTCGACTTATGCCGAGTCTCGTTTTTTTTATTTTTTGAGTTTTTCGTTAGCAGCCCCGTTAGCAGAGTATGAGTTTCGCTCGTGTGCATAATTTAAAATAATGACGGCACATGAAACTTAATGCGTCTGCCCCGAAAAAGATCGATCGGGTGGCAGGTTGCGCCGGCAGGTGGATCAAATTGAACCCGAAGCTCAGGCTGATGATGCTTGATGGTCGAATGAAAGCCAAAACAAAAACAAAAAAGCCGAAACAAACACGCATCTTTATGGTCACGCATCGAAGGTGTAACAGGTGCACTCTCACTTTTCGGCTTACACCCCGACGCCAGGCTGATGATGCGATGGTCGAATGAAAGCCAAAACAAAAACAAAAAAAGCCGAAACAAACACGCATCTTTATGGTCACGCATCGAAGGTGTAACAGGTGTCACTCTCACTTTTTCGGCGTGTTAGCCTACATACATAAAAATTAGCTTGCCCATCTAACGAACGAGCGGCAAACTCACGCAATTATCGCATCCTTGCTGGTATCTTTGATTTGTGATCTGTGATCACTGATCGCTGATCGCTACTGCCACCGTCTCTCCCATTTTTTTCGCCTCTTTGTCACTTTCCTTTTGCAATGCAAATTTCTCGTGCCGACTATTAATTGCTAATGGCAGTCAACAACCAAAAAAGCGAAAAAAACCAAAAAAAAATAGTAAAGGAGAAATAACCGTTAAGACAAACGCCATGAAAAAACCAGCCATAAAAATCGTCAACCAAATGCGGCAGCCTGGCTCTTATGCCCCCCAACTCCTCCTCCTGTCACCTGAGTTTTCCTCCTGCTGCCCACGATCGCTGCTCATTCACAGTAGGCAGCAGCTACTGCCGCTTGTATGCAGATTTCGAGAAAAGTTTCACTGCTGGAAAATAGCGCCAGGGATTGCAAATCCTGTTTTAGGATTTTTACTCAAGAGGCTTTATGTGCGAATGCATTTATGAATATTTATAGACCTTAAAACTGAATGCATCGATCGCCAATCACCCAAATGAGTTTTCATGCGTATAAAACAATTCAAATGGATTTGGCACAATTTTTTGATACTAAGTTGCCTTGCCGTTTGAAAGAGATTGTTTTTTATTTCTCTAATGAAAGGATGCGCTCGAATTGGTTTTTGAAATACCTTCACTTTTAATGTTTCCAGTCTTTAAACAAGAATCTTTTAAATACCTTATACACTCTTTCTCTGCAAACCGTTCCTAAATACTATTTATATATTCTTTCCATTTTAACGTATCCTTTACTTATAAATATTTTTTTAACTTTGGCAACTTGTAATGCATGCAATATCTCATAAGAATAAAGCGTTTTCCCAATTTAACGCTACTGTGAATGATTTGGCAGCTGAAGTGGGGTCCAAACACTTTGGCAAATTTGGTCCTGGGGCAACCGAAAATAAAACTTTCTTTGCATACCCTGGCTGTCCCCCTTTTCCCGACTCCTCCTGAGTTCGCGCCACCAACCGCAGTGTGGCTATAACTCCCTCTCTTTGGGCTTATCGACGATCTTTAGACGTTGGCACGTTTCGTTCATTGCCTTGGTTTTGGTTGTTGTTACTGTGGCTGTTGACGTGTTGCCAAATGGCCATATTCGAGCTTTTATTGTGGCTCGTATTAGATTGCCATGGCCAATGCATAAATCTGTTATTGAATGCGAGCCCGAATTGGAATCGGAATCCGATCAAGAGCGATTCCAAGAAAGCCAGCAGAAGGCCAAGAGAGAGAGATATTTGGCCCGGAGCAAGCGATTCGCTCATATCCATTCTTAATCTTTATGTGGAAGTTAAGGTTTCCATTTTGTTACCTAACTGTTAGAATATTGAAGTACTTGATACGTATCATGGGAAATATAACAAAATCTTCTAATGTTTTCTCCACGTAACAAGCTTCTGAGAAAATAACGATCGTCACAATAGAACACCTAATGAAAGTCAAGTGTATGTGCTAAAAAGTACCCACTTACATACTTTTTGTCCGCCATATCTAAGAACGGAAAGTTTTCGCCCGCGGTGAGTCACTAAGCTCCAATAAGACACGGCTCCGCCGCTTAAAAGTCAACAGCATAAATTCTGGCATGAAAGCGATCTGCTATCACTGTTCTCCCTCTCGTTCTAATAAGTCAAACAATAAATCATCATTGGAGCTTATATTTTTAGCAGATTTCTTTGCCAAAACTCTGCTGACTCACGATCCCCAAAGAGCTTGAGGGTCCATGTGTACTACACCATTGGTTCCCATTCCCATTCCCATTCCCAGAGTGGAACGGCGCTTTGCTTTGAGTCGCCTCCTCCCCTTTCCCCTTGTTTCCTGGCCTTCCTGTTGTTCTTCTTAAACTAACAAATTCTGGCATGGTCCAAAAAGTGCGAGGGAAGGGGGCATTGGGGGGTGGGGGGAGGGGTGGCAGGGCGGAAAACAGGATTGGGCACATTGCTGGACATCACGCAAGGAGGAACCGAATCGCTGCAAAATCGGTGGCATCGGAATCGGAGGAAGGAGAAAGTCTCCACGAAGGGCGGCCAAGAATCTCCAAATCTGATTCCACGTTTTTAAATGCACTAAGAGAAAATAATAATAATAATATATAAAATAAAAGATTAAAAGATTAATAATTATTTATATTCCCTAAATGTGTAAAAAGGATGGATAAGCCAATATGATTTTATCAATTTAAATGAATTTCTTACACATATTTTATACCAACACTTTCCTTTATTAAATAGTTTAAAAATGTACATCTAAAAACTCATTGCAAAGCCTTTCAGCCTAACAATAAACCATCTTTTTTCAATTGTGCCCTTCGGCCAGCTGCCAAGCTCCCAAGACACACGAAATTCTGTTTTTCAAGTAGCCCAACAACGAAATTTGTTATATGACTTACATTAGTGGGTGCATGCTGTTCGTACCCCTCACCCTTCTTGCTCCCCTTTCCCCCGTATTTTGGCGTTTTTTTTTTATTTCGCCAGCATTGTTTGGCAAACGGGCAGCCACATTTGCAGCAGCAGAATTGACATTTCCTTTTACAACATCCAACAAGCTCTGCAAAATGAAAACGATAAATCAGCAACAACAGCGGCCAGCGTTTCCATGTGATTGTCACGCTTGAAGGACTTTTCTCGTGGAAAGCGCCAACAAAAACTTAAAACAAAAATCACAACAAAGGCGAAAATGAATTTGTTGCTTTTCTTGTTGGCCGCTGCTGTTAACAGCATATGTTGCAGTTGCTTTTTATGAACTAGGTTACTATGTTTGTTGAGTAATTGAGTTTAGTTTTTTCGCACACACGAATCTGTCCATTGTTGTTTTTTGCTGTTTTTGTTATTGTCGATTAGGAAGCTGCCTCACATGCAACTCCGTTGCTTTTTCTTGGCAGGAAGTGAGATTTGGGGGCGGTGGGGGATTGCTTCGCTATCTCTGAGTTACGCTGCCAAATAGCTTGATCCTTATAAGGCCATATCCTTCACGGAAATCATTTATTTAATTTGTTTTTAGTGGAGCTAGCCAATTATATAAATAAAAGCATTATACTAAGCTAATTAATGAACAATGGCCAGCAAAGTCAACATCACGTATGAGTAATCTACTTCGTAGCGGAATTAGAGGTATTAAGACCAAATGAATTTTAATTTTCGTTGGTAATGCTATCTTTAATCAAATTATTAGTTTTCATTTTTGGTAATGTTATAAATGTACCTCCGGTTTATGATTTAAGTTTAGAGTTTTCATTAACTTTTTTCGGTTTAAAAAGACAACATTGCGTTTAAAAGATAAAGACAATCGATTATAGTTTAAGGTTGCCTTAAGGTAAACTTGTTTTTTTTTTGTATGATATTTTCAGGAGTGGCTTAAGTTGCTTAAAGTTTGATACATTATAAAAACTAATATTACGCTACTCATTGAAACACAAAAAAATCAATTTCAGTCAATAGCTTGACCCACCTTGTGCTTCCTAGTTCACTTTTCACTTCGTTTTATTATTTTTTTTTTTTTTTTGTATTTTCGTATTTCCAGTCCTGGCTTTCTTCTCTTCAGTCACGTTCCAGCTTCTCGTTTTATTCGTCACTATCCCCGCACCCTCCTCTCGCCACTCTCTTTCTCTCTTTGACTGTCTGTTTTGTGATCTAATTACTGTATTTGCTGTCCGTTTTGACTGCTGCCTCCTGCCTTTTTCCGGCCGCCCCCTCGCCCACTGAAAAGCCTGTTTAAATTCGTCGTGCTCTGCTAGTGACTCCTTCCCCTTCTCCCCTTTTCCCCTCTGACACCATCGCTTTCCCATCATCATCATCATCATCAACAGCAGCATCCTAACTAACCAGCTCCTACTGTCTATTGCTCTCTTTGGGTTTTGTGTATCAATTTGGCGCATTTGCTTTTAGTTTGTGTCAGCAGAAAAAATAATGTTTAGGATGATTTAGCAATAAATACCATACATATATGTATATTTGGATGGAAGGTCTTAAAATAAGTTTAGGAGTTCTGTTTTTCAATTAATTGTTAAATTAAAAAGGTGTTAACGACTTGTAATCTGATTTAAGAAATCATAACATAATTTCCA